ATCTTACATGTTTCTCAATCAAAAAATAATAAAAAATGATCCAAATGTTTAATTTTGCACAATTTTATTGGCTTCATCAAGTCTGTTTTGCTCATGAAAAGCAGCTTGTATTAGTAAGATTTAAAAATCAGGTACTATTTATGAGCAAGATAAACTTAGAAGACAAGCACAAATCAAGATTTAACTGAGTAAATCTGCGGCTTAATGTGCTTTACATCAATCCATCATTCTGTTTTGATTTTCTAATTCCCTGGCTAGTGGAAGGATGTTAGAATTGGTTTCCCTTTCAGATATGCTGAGCCAATGATTAACCATCTCACCCCAATACTGCAGTGCCAAAATTGAGTAAAAAATAAAGGACATGGCTGAAGAGGAGGAAGGTACTGTGCTGTATGTGTGCCTGTTAGAAGGATGAAGTTGAAACTTAAAATCTGTTGTCTTTCTTCCAGTTGCCAATTTCTGAGCAGATTCCTCATTTTTCTTTGAATTCCAAATTGTTAAATTTGTAGTCCTACAGATGGCTGTTGATAAGTCCAGGTGCCTAGGATCAGGACTGAAGTACAGTAGCTACAGCCAAATTTGGTGTCTTTTTCGGGTACCAGTAATACCACAGCATTTACGGCATGCTTCTTCCAAGAGTGTTTTGTTTCTATTACGATTGAGCATTTAGTACTTTAATAAAGTGTTAAATTTCCTATTCAATAAGGTTTTAAATCTTCTTAGATTCTTGAGAACATTCTTTGTTACTTATGTTAGAGTCCTCTTATTGTTTATCAGCTACATGTCTGTTGGAGAACTGTTAGTAATATGACTGAAAGTAATTTCAAAAGCAATTTCAAAATTAAAGAGGTAGGAAAGTTTGGGAACGGTGATTCATTTTGTTACCGATCTTAGGAATTATCTCAATTTTGAGTTTCTTCTATTTTATCTTTAGTCTCATTTTTGCACTTTGTTTTAATTTCTTATCTGAGAAAGGAACAGAACAGAAGTGGTACATTTGATATTGGTGGAAGGAGCAGGAGCATCCCTGCATACTTCCTGTAACTGTATCTCTGTACTGGCAGATAAGCACTCCATTGTTTGGAATGAAATTGCCCTCTTAGCTCTCCTGACTTGCTGCATTTACTTATCATTTCTACTGTGACTTGAAAATCTGTCTCTGCAGAAGCCACCTTCATTCTTACAGCACAGTCCTCTGTACTTCAATTATATCTTTCTTCATTTCCCCTAGGGAATCTACAGTTTCATTGCCTCTCCCACTGAAGCTTTGTTTGGTCAGGGTGATGGGCATCTCTTCAAAATGTGATTATCTTTTAACGACTCAGTGTGATATGTAAGAATTAAATTTGGTAACGTTGAATTTCTTTCTCTTCGTGACTTTTGTGTCCAAGCTCTTGGTGTTTTGGTCAATGTACTTAATTTGTAGCTTTGTCCTGAATGTTTGGAGTATGACTGATTGAACCAGGAATGTGGAATAGTTGAAACTTGACTGTAAAAACAGTCTAAATATACAGACCTGCTCTGTACCTGGCAGGGGTTGACTGACTTTATGTAGATAATGTGCTTGTTACTATGAAATGGAATTACTTTACTTTTTGAGCTTCTCATATATTACTCATAATACATGAGAGAGTTTCTGTGGGGAAACAGTGAATTAGAGTATTGGAGGGAGGACTCCAGAATGAGTTCAGATAAGACTCTGGAACTTGTTCGAAACAAAGCTGGCATATATGCTATGTGGCAAGTCCTTGGTCTTGCTGTAAGAGGCATTTCCAAGCATTCTGAGTGCTGTCTTATGAGCAATGTGAAAAGACATCTTTGCAACTCAGCATGATCTGCCTTTTTGTTTTATAAAAAATAAAATGAAAAATTAATGACTGGAAGATTAGCCTTGAGAAAAGAAGACTGAGAGGGGACCTGATCCAGGTCTATAAATATCTAAGGTGTGGGGGGCAGAATGGTGAGGCCGGACTCTTTTCAGTGGTGAATGGAGAAGGACAAGGGGAAACGGCTGGAAACTGCAGCATAGGAAGTTCCGCACAAACATGCGCAAGAACTTCTTTACAGTGAGGTGACGGAGCACTGGAACAGGCTGCCCAGGGGGTTGTGGAGTCTCCTTCTCTGGAGATGTTCCAGACCTGCCTGGATGCCTACCTGTGCGACCTGCTGTAGGGAACCTGCTTTGGCAGGGGGGTTGGACTCGATGATCTCTGGGGGTCCCTTCCGACCCCTACAATTCTGTGCTTCTGTGATTCTGTGATTATTATATATTCAGGAGCTGTATGAGATATGGGAGTGGAAGGGGGGGAAAGGGAGGAGAAGAAGCGCTATTAATAATAACTATATGCATTTCACTGTACCATAAGAATCATTCAGTAGCATCTGAAGTAAGATGTCTGTTCTACAGACTTTGAGTTTCCTTCAAATGAGAGGTGAAAGTAATGCCTGCCTTACTCTGCACTGTTTATGCCACGCACACCTTCAGTGTGGCCTCCTAAATTCCAGGTGTGTTACACATCACTGAGCCAATCCCTGTGTCGTGTAGGGACAGGGTTCTGTCCCCAGCACTGATAGTATGACACATTATTGGAAACTAGGTGTTTGTCAGCAAGGAAGCTAACTCTTGTTTTGAAAGAAGGTGTTAGCAACTTCTTCAGCAGTTATTTCAACTGTCTTCAGTGTGAACTGTTGCAGTGTTTTTAAGTTTATTGGGTTCTGCCTTGACAATACCAAAAGTAGTTGATTACAGTAAAGCATGCTTGTGAATACAAATGACCTTTGTGTCTGTCTTTCCTCCTGCATTACTAATTAATGCAAATTAGGATAGTGAGAGGGAGAACTGGGAAGTTGGGTCTTATTTGCACATTTTTAGAAGCTTATTAAGGCTATCCTGCTTGGAATCTTTATGCGAATTAAGCACTGGAAAGAAGGCATATCTTCAAATTGCATGCATTTTGAAAGTATGAGCACAATTAAGCTGACCTGTTTGATTGGCAACATTTTCACAGGTATCTACTGAGGACTTTTTATTGATTTTCTTCTCTCAGAAAGTTTTTGTGCTGTCTGAATAACTGTGTTTCCAGGCAAACTTCATTCCCAGTACATAGCAGGCATCAGAGCTTTTTTTATTATAGCATTTTACAAAATCTTTTTTTTTTTTTTCCCTTCTGAATGGGGGGAGTATGGTGTCTTTTATTTCTTTTTAATATGCTAAGTCAGTATTCAATTACTTGAAAGAAGTTTTCTGTCTTTTAACGTTCCAGACAAGAAGTGCCGCAGCTGAACAAGTGAAGCCGAGTGAAAATGAAAACATTACAAAGCAGATTCCATAGTAGTCTCACTCATGTGTAGTATTTCCTCTACCACATACCTTTTTAGGCATGGAGTAAGATATTGCGTGTTTAAAGCTAGACTTATTCTTCTAATTGAAACTTCCATCTAATTGAGGTAGACTTTTTTGGTGTAGTAAGAAGCTCAGTAAGGTCATAAAACTAAGAAATTATTTCAGTAGCTGCTGTATGCACAGGTGAACTTTTTAACTTATTTCTGAAATAGTATTATAAAGCCAGATACTGATTAATGTAGAATCTATCCCAAAGAACTTTTGGATATTTTAAGCAATAAATCAATAAATGTGGTTTTGGCCACCTTATAGTTTTTTAATATCATTTTGCATCTGTTTCAAAATACACAGACTTTTTATTATTTTTTATTTTCAGTGAAAATTTTGTTTTCATAGTTGTGCATGAGTAAAACTGTATAATAATTGTAATTACTGCTGATGTTTTTGTTTAGAGAAAGTATGAAAGTAAGTTGAGTGAACTAGTATTCATCACTTGGTCTTTAAGGCAAGTGTGGTTTGTTCCTGTTCACTATCTCTGAAGAACTTGCCTTGTGCAAACCGTACCAACCAGTTGATAGTTCATATTGCCAATCAAACTAAACACAAAAAGTTACAGAAGATCTTACAGTAAATTTGGTATTATCTTGAAAATTTATTGTAGTTTGAAAGACCATTTTGACTTTTTTTTAATTTTATCGTAGATGCTCAAGTGCAGAAATGTACTACATTTTCATAGGGGAAGTTTATGGTGAAAGAAACATGGAATGGTTTGCCAGCAAATATGCTAATTCCATTTTACTGTGGTCTAAGAAAGACTTGTGAGACTACTCATTTCAAGTGTGTACACAGGTTGCTCTGAAAGTAGTGCCTCCTATTTACTTTCATGAAAACTATGGAGATACGAAGAGGGCAAAAACATTATTTGGTAGAGCAAATTCTCAGCTACAAAACCACTGTTTGGTCTCCATAGATGTCCATCAAATGTTGATGGATGCTGGAGGGTGCATTTTTTTTCTGCATGGATGAATTGAGTTCCACACCTTCGCTTCATACACACTCCATGTCGGATGCCATTTTGTCGGACTGCCCCTCGACTGCCATCTGTCCCGTAGCAACAGAACGTAATGGAATATTGATGGGAGGGTTCAATCTCTACTGCCATATCACCAACATCTAACTCTGATACTGTTGTCCAACATCATAGAATAGGGGACACTGCTTTTGGAGAACACCTGTAGTATAGAAGTATCTTGAGCAATAATAAGCTAAATTTTAAGTCTTGTGAGGTATCTTTTCCAAATAAAGGCAGTGTTTTTCAGGGTTCATTTCTACTTCAGAGACGTAATAATAATAATGATAATAATAAAATAACAATATACCATAAATAACATAAGAACACAGTTCATATTATACCTACTACTTATATTAGTGTTGTAACTATGTTAGTAATACCAAAGACTACCTCAAAGTAGAGGTTGACCTCACCACTCTTTCTGCTGAAGAAAATAACAAGTGGTAAATGTATAAAATGATTAACATCAGATAATTTTCTAAATACAGTGTGAATCACATGATGCGTAAAAATGCTTTCTAAGCAAGATTATACTTATAAAGATAAGAAAGCTTCTCTGATTCTCATTATTATTTGTTTATTTAGAAAATAAATTCTAAACTTCATGACGGAGTGTGTCAGCATTGTAAAGGTATTTTGGAGTGGCGGGTAAAATTCAGCAAGTATAAACTACTATCAAAACCTAAAAAATGGTGAGTACAGATACTTTGTCTTAATCACTGGCAGTATTGTTTGTGAACTTTCTGGAGCATATTTTGTTTTTGGAAACTCGTAGATGCTACAAGTCTATACTACTTATATATCATGTTTTTCAGTCTGGAGTCTGCAGCAATAATCAAAATACTGTATTAATTTTCAATTTCTTTAATGCTTTTATCTTAAATATTAGAAAACGTAGCAAAGCAGCTGCTTCCTTCCTCACTGTTAAAATGTTTGAATATTCTTAATGATCATTTTGAACCTGTAAGTTTCCAAAAACATGTCAGTGTCCTCCCAAAAAAAAAGTTAGAAGTGAATCAGTTATGGTGTGATTTTCTCAGATCTTATAGCAAGTCAGAATTGCACATCTGTAGAGGTTCTTACATCAGTGTCTCCAGATGCAGCTAACATTCCAGCAATGAAACACTGAACTCAAGGAAACTATAGCTGGGATGTAGTGCATAAAATAATCAGCTTTGTCTCCCTAGCTCCTTCTGTATTTGTATGTTGTTCTCAGTTACATACTTCTGACATATATGCTTCTGAACCAGTTGGGGAAGTTATGTGAGAACATGGATAACTTCCTGAATGATTGCGTCTTAATTTTGGTTTTCTTGAGTCTGAAAGAGAAGGAATATCTGTTCATACTGTATCTGCTACTTACATGAAGTTTTACTTTTTAATATGAAGCCATACACAAAAAATATTTTGTTTTTAAACAGTGTCATCCTTTCATGTTCAAGAAAAAATCGTTCTACTTAATGTAGAAGTCTCTAGTTTCCAAAGTGGATGTTCTGGGTTATGCTTACCACTAAGTAGGGATTCAAAAACAAAAAATCTTTCACAGGTGACAAATAGATCATGCAGATGGGCATGGCATGGCAGTAAGGGTGTGGTGCACAGTTCACACAGGTAGGGAGCACAGCAAGAGCACAAGGGGGTCTGCTTTCTTCTGTCTATCTGGTTACAGTAGGGAGCAGCACTCTACTGAGAAACATGGTGACTACCCACCAAGCAGTTGGCCTGAGGTAGAAACCTAAATGAAGGAGGCACCACAACCTTTTCGGGCTGATGCGTGCACTTGGATGGACTTCCCTAGGAGTGACAGAGCTGCCCAGAACTTTGAGCCTGAGGGCAGAGTGGGGTGTCATGGTTGCAGGTGTGCCCAGCTTGATCAACTTTTTGAGCTGGTGGCCAGGTTGCATGAGGAAAACACCAGGCTGAGATGTATCCAGCAGTTGGAGAGACTGTGATGCTTGGTGTCATACAGTAACAGAAGCCAGACCAACAGCCCTGTCTTAAGTTTCAGCAAGGGAAAGAAGATAAGCAGACTTCTGGCCCTAAGGAGTCAGACGGCAAAAAAAATTTCAAAATGAGGGAAACTGGACCTTTGTCTCTACTCAGGACAGCAGGAGAAGCCTTTCTCTTGCCCCTGAAATATTCTCAAGCAACAGATGTGAGGCTCTGGGGATGGGAAGAGAAGAACGTCTGGACAGTGGCTGAGGACTGGAAAGGAGCAACCAAGTTAAGATGGTCCAACCAAAAATCTGAGTTAGAACCAGTGCAGTTAAAGAAAAGGCAAAGCATCTTTGTGATTAGGGATTTTGCCCTGAGAAGCACTGAGGCTCCCATTTGCTGCCCAGATAATCATTTAAGAAGTTTTCTGTCTGCCAGAAGCCTGCATCTGGGACATCCAGAAGAGGCTACCAGGTGTGAAAAAGCTGGAAGGCTACTGTCTGCTGTTGCTCTTTCAAGCTGGCTCACAGAAGGCTGCAACTAGGAAATTACAAAATGTTAAAAAGGACTTTTTGACCCTTGGGAAGATGATGAAGGGAGTGGAAGCATAGGTAGTATTCTTGTCATGGTTCTGTGATTTTTGGTTATTGGTGTTCCACATCATAACATCATGTAGTCCACTGGGAGTTGAAGTGTTAATGCTCCAGTTCTGGGTACCCAGAAGAGAAGAAGAACTAGATTCCCTAGAAGACTGTTCACTGTGCTGTTATCATTTCTGCTCAGGGGGAGCAGACATAAGGCCGTGGTAGGTCATCTGACCTCCTCTTCTAAGTCAGGCTCTCCTCCATGTTGCTCAAACAGACTGCACGTCTCACCTCAATGTTATGGTGAGGCCTATCCACCTTTCAGACACTCTCTCTCATTATATGTATTAGCTTCAATTCTAATTATATTGTATTATGGAGTATTGTCATGCATTCCGATACCATATTTAGTAAATTAGTTTGATTCTCCTCAGATGTTGCTGCTATTTTTATTTTGGGCTCCCTGTTTCCCTTTTCTGGAGGTATGGATTTGCAAAATCCCTCCACCTTCCTAGTCACAGAGCTGGGCCAAACCAGCCTGTAAACCATTGACAGTTCTCCTCAGTCCTCCTGGTTGGATACTAGGAACCAGGAAGAGAATGGACCAGTTTGTGAATGGACGCATGGGTGTCTTTTGATTGTATGATTTAGGTTGCACCTTTGTATAAACTGGACATGTTTATGTTGGTTGGGATATAACTAAGCAGGATGGCAAAGAACATACCTTGGCAGCTAGCTGGCAGGACCGATCATCAGAGCATAAAACTAAATTTGTTGGAGGAAGGAGATGTGCTACTGAGTGACAGAGAAGAGCTGGAAACACTGTCACTTTAGGAAGCAGAAGGGGAAAACCTCAGATTTATCCCGGTGGAACTTAGGACATATGGGAGGGTAACATGGTCAATAGGCCAGCTGAAGTGACTCTACACCAGTACACACAGCATGGTGTATGGAGATGGAAACTTGGTAATTAGAAAACTCTGACCTAATTGCTATCTTAGAAACATGATGGGACCAATCATACAACCAAAATACTGTGATTGAGGGCTACAGTCTTTTTAGAAGGGATAGGCAAGGCAGGAGGGGCAATAGAGTTTCTCTCTGTGTTAAGAAGAGGGTAGATTGCAAACAGCTGACTGAGAAACAGCCATGACCAGGTTAAGAGCTTGTGGATTAAAATCAGGGACGAAACCAACAAAGGACATCTGATTGTCAGGGTTAACTGCAGGCTGCCTTATTAAGAGGAACCTGTTGACGAGCCCTTCTTGCTTCAGCTACAGGAGGCATTGTGCTTGCAGCATCTTATCCTGATAGGGGGATTTCAGCCACCTGGAAATTTGCTGGGAAAACAACATGGCGTGATACAAGTAATCCTGGAGTCTACTGAGGATAAATTTCTGATCCAGATATTGGACAGACCAACTAGAAGTGAAGTGTTACTGGCTGATAAACCTTACTTCTTTGCCTGGAAAGATCATGGAACAGGTACTCCTGGAAGATATATTAAGGAACATCAGGGACGAGCTGGCAATCCCATACAGCCAGCATGGTTTCACCAAGGACATATCATGCCTGACCAGTCTGATCACCTTCTGTGATGATGGAGTGACAGCATCTGTGAGCCAAAGAAGGGCAACTGGTATCATCTGCCTGGACTTGTGACAGGCCTTTGATATGGTCCAACCACATCCTTATCTCCGAATTGGAGAGAGATAGATTTCAAGGGTGGACTGTTTGGTGGGTAAGTAATTGGTTGTGTGGTCACAGCCAGAGGGTTGTGGTCAATGGCTCTGTGTCCAGGTGGGGGCTGTTCACAAATGGTGTTGTCCAGGAGTCTGCCTTGGGACTGGTATTCTTTAACATCCTTATCAATGGCATAGATGGTGGGAGTGAGTGCACCCTCAGCAAGTTCTCTGAAGACATCAAGCTGAATGTAGTTGATATGGCAGAAGGAAGGGATGTCATCTAGATGGATCTTGACAGGCTTGATTGTTTTGTCTTCTCTCTATCCACCTCCAAAAGTAAGAAAAAAAAAAAAGCATACAAAAAGATTTGTAAATCAGGGAAGCATGAGGAATAGAAAAAGTGGCTTTGCAGGACAGCTGCTTCTGACTAAGTATGTTGTCATAGTTTTGAACAAGAAAATTAGACTTCATATCATTCTTAACTCTGTAATTCTGCAGATTTTTTTGTTGTTCCCACATCCATTGGATACTATGCTGGCTGAATGGGCCAGTGTTCTGAAAGACCTAGGCTATTAAGAATTTCAATTGGTTAAGCTTCAAAATGAAATAAATACATACTTTAAAAACATGACTTTCAAGCTAAGAAACTGAAATATTTACATCACAGAGTATGGAAATCAAGGACTTATGCATATACATTTATTTATATTTTTTTAACCTCTTTTTAAATTACGATTTTTAGTAGAACTACAGCTTAGCCTTTAATTTCATTTTGGGTATTTAAGTATTAAAAATTAAAGTATTAAAGACAAACTGGCTTGCATTAATAGTGTACAGTGAGACACAACTGAGAAGAGCTGTAGAGATGCTAGAGTCTTACAAGACATTGATATATACTTGATGTTTGTCTTTAGCCTGTTAGTCTACAAATTGAGTGTTTAGAACTGTATGCTACATACTAAAGCTTTCCTGATGGACTTTGAGTGCCTGAAGAACCAAGCAAGGATGACTTATTTTAAGACAGCTGCCTAGTGTGGGTTATTTAATTCCAGGTTCTGTTCAACAAAAATACAAGGCATTAAAAGTGTCAGCTGAACATTAAGCCATAGCATTTCAGAAATTATTTGATGAACAGAGTTCTACCATACTTGAAAACAGTAACCAAAAACCTCTAGAAATTTAGGATGGTTTTGTTTAGGATAAAGTTCCTTGCAGGCATGGATTTGTAGAAAGCAAAGTCCAGCAGTGGTTTTGTTTATATTCTGAGAAGTTCAAGAAAAAGACATTGCATTGTTTTGATTGAAACCTTTTAATCTGTAAAAATCTATGCACCTTCTTATACTGTGTTTTTATTTTCTTTTATTGGTAAGCCAGATGTATAATTTATGCAGCTTTTAAAGCAAAATAACCTATTGAAATGAATTGAAAGGTTTGTTTTGTCACTTTAATGTGAGATTTTTTTTTAATTTAATATTTTTTCTTCAGTTTTAGTTTTAATATTAAAGAATGAGACTGGACTATAGAAATTCTTTTGAAGGCTCTCTGTGTTGTGTGTGTTGTCTTTCAACACAGAATATTTAATAAGTGCTTGTCAAAGAAACAAGTAATTATGTTTTCTTTCTCTTCACAGTGTGAAGTGCCTCCAGAAAGCTGTGAAAGATCCTTACCACATTATTTGTCGACCATGTGCTAGTAAACTAGAAGTTTGTGCCAAATGTGGAAAGGAAAAAGAAATTGTAATTCCGTAAGTAGCTCATAAATTATATAGTTTCCGTACTGCGCTTCTTTTTTCCCTTTTTAATAAGGCTTGTTTGGAAACTATACAAGACACTGTTACACTTCATGCCATATTCTGAATAATCCTGACAGAAATCAGTAGAAGTCATCAGCTTCATTTTCTTCTGCTGAAACCAAGGTGGAATGCTTATTGATGTTAGTGAGGCTGGGCCAAATAAGTCTTACTCAAATAAGACACTTTATTATAATACCAAAGAGAAGATTGTATTTCTACCTTAGGAACAAAGTACTTTGAAAATTTACTGTTTGCATTTTGTGTGTCATTTGATGATTCAGTTACCAGGAACAGAAATAAAGATGGGCTGATACTGAGCACAGTTACTGCAGTGTTTTTAGCAGGCTTTCCTCTTTTTTTAATTCTTTTAGTAAATAAGTCACTTTTATTGAGCATTCTATATTAATTTACAATTATGACTGCTCATCAGCAGTTAACTAGTTAGTCAGACTGTTTATATACAATCATACGTGTATACACTGTGCCTGGGAAACTCATAGAGCAGATTCTCCTGGAAGATATATTAAGGCACATCAGGGACAAGCTGGCAATCCCAGATGGCCAGCATGGCTTCACCAAGGACATATCATGCCTGACCAGTCTGATCACCTTCTGTGATGATGGAGTGACAGCATCTGTGGGCCAAAGAAGGGCAACTGGTATCATCTGCCTGGACTTGTGACAGGCCTTTGATATGGTCCAACCACATCCTTATCTCCGAATTGGAGAGAGATAGATTTCAAGGGTGGACTGTTTGGTGGGTAAGTAATTGGTTGTGTGGTCACAGCCAGAGGGTTGTGGTCAATGGCTCTGTGTCCAGGTGGGGGCTGTTCACAAATGGTGTTGTCCAGGAGTCTGCCTTGGGACTGGTATTCTTTAACATCCTTATCAATGGCATAGATGGTGGGAGTGAGTGCACCCTCAGCAAGTTCTCTGATGACACCAAGCTAAATGGTGTCATATGGTATTTTGAGGATAAGGAGAAGGCTGGGGTCTTCAATGCCTTCTTTACATCTTCCTTTAATAGGCAGATCAGTTATCCTCAGGGACTTTACGCCCTGATCTGGAAGTCTGGGATGCTATGCAGAATGCATCCCGGGTGATTCAGGTGCATACTCCCCCCCTCCTCCATCTGGGCTGTCACAAGTCCATGGTACTGGACAGGCTTCATCCTAGGTTGCTGACAAAGCTGGCGGGGGTGATTGCCGAGCTGCTCTTGGTCATCTACCAGTGCTCCTGGTTATCTGGAGAGGATTGGAGGCTTGCCGATCTCCAGTCTACAAGAAGGATCATAAGGAGGATCCAGGGAACTATAGGCCTGTCAACCTGACCTTGATACCAGGGAAAGTTATGGAGCAAATCATCTTGGGTGAGATCACACAGCATGTGCGAGGCATCCAAGGGATCAGGCCCGGCCAGCACGGGTTTATGAAAGGCAGGTTGTGCTTGACCAACCTCATCTCCTTCTATGACTGGGTGACCAGACTCGCAAACGAGGGGAAGGCTGTTGATATAGTCTCCCTAGACTTAAGCAAAGACTTTGACATAGTCTCTCACATAATTCTTCTGGGGAAACTGGCTGCCCAAGGCCTGGGCAGGTATGCCCTTCTTTGGGTAAGGAACTGGTTAGAGGGCCATGCCCAACAGGTAGTGGTGAATGGACTGAAGTCCAGCTGGCGACCCATTACAAGTGGTGTCCCCCAGGGGTCGGTACTGAGGCCCATCTTGTTTAATATCTTTATTGATGACCTAGATGAGGGGATTGAGTGCACCCTCAGTAAGTTTGCAGATGACACCAAGCTGTGAGGTGGTGTCATTCTGCCTGAGGGTAGGATCACAGATCCTTCCCTCCTTCAGAGTGATTCAGAGGGATTTAGGTCCTTCAGAGGGATTTAGGTAAGCTAGATCACTGGGCTGAGGTGGATGGGATGAGGTTCAACAAGGCCAAGTGCCAGGTCCTGCACTTTGGCCACAGTAACCCCATGCAGCGCTGTAGGCTTGGGGCTGAGTGGCTGGATGACTGTGAAGAGGAAAGGGACCTGGGAGTGTTGGTTGATGCTCAGCTGAACATGACCAATTGTGCCCAGGTGGCCAAGAGGGCCAACGGCATCCTGGCCTGCATTAGAAATAGTGTGGCCAGCAGGAGCAGGGAGGTGATCATCCCTCTGTAGTCAGCACTGGTGAGGCCGCACCTCGAGTATTGTGTTCAGTTTTGGACCCTTCGCTACAAAAAAGACATTGAGGCCCTGGAAAACTCAACTGGTGAGGGGTCTGGAGCACAGATCTTATGAGGAGCAGCTGAGGGAGCTGGGATTATTTACTCTGGAGAAGAGGAGGCTCATTGCACTCTACAACTTCCTCAAGGGAGGTTGTGGTGATGAGGAGGGGTTTGGCCTCTTCTTCCAGGCAACAAACAGGACCTGAGGAAATGACCACAATTTGTACCAGAGGAGGTTTAGGTTAGATATGAGGAAGAACTTCTTCTCTCAAAGGGTGGTCAGGCACTGGAATGGCTGCCCAGGGAGGTGGTGGAGTCGCCGTCCCTGGCAGTGTTCAAGAGGCGCCTGGATGAGGAGCTGCAAGGTATGGTGTAGTGCTTGTGGTAGCATTGTGATGGGAGGATGGTTGGACTAGATGATCTTGCAGGTCCTTTCCAACCTTGTGACTATAATTCTATGATTCTAGTTGATATGGCAGGAGGAAGGAATGCCAACCAGAATGAGCTTGATAAACTTGTAAGGTGGGCCCATGTGAAGCCAATGAGGTTTAACAAAAGAAAGTATAAGATTTTGCACTTGGTTTGGGTAATCCCGGCTATGTATATGGACTTGGAGAAGAATTCTTTGAGAGTAGCCCTGCTGAGAGGGACTTAGGGGTCTTGGTAAGTGAAATACTTAGCATGAAGCAGCAGTGTGTGCTTGCAGACTGGAAGGCCAGCAGTATCGTATGCTACATCAGAAGAGGGGTGGCCAGAAGGACAAGGAAGGTGGTCTTCTCTCATGAGGCCCCAGCTGGAGTCCTGCCTCCAGTCTTTGCACACAGGAAAAATGTAGAGCTGTTCAAGAGAGTCCAGAGATGCTGATCAGAGGGCCAGAGAACCTCTTCTGTAAAGACAGGCTCAAGAAGCCAGTCTTGTTTGGTCTGGGGAAGAGAAGGCTGCAGGAAGACTTCATTGTGGCCTTATTTAAAGGGAAATCGTAAAGAGAGTCAAGTTTTTACACAGGTAGATAGAGATAGGACAAGGGGAAATAGTTTTAAAGTAAAGGAGAGAAGATTTATGTTAGATGTCAGGGGAAGCTTTTCACTGAGAGGGTGGTGAAATGCTGGAACAGGTTGCCCAGAGAGGTTGTGGATGCCTCATCCCTGAAGGTATTCAAGGCCAAGCTGGATGGGATTCTGGGCAACCAGACCTAGCACTTATCTACTGATTGGTAATCCTGCATGTGGTAGGGGAGTTGGAACTTGATTAATCCTTAAGTTTCCTTCCAACTTAAGTTATTTTATGATTTTATCATACTTAAATATGTATTCTTTTTATTTCTTAGTCTCTTTTCCCTTACTGTCCACTCAACATGAAAGTAATTTTAGATTATTTTCTCCTTTCTCCTTCCCCCACCACCCAGGTAGACTGTTGTGTCCTTCATCCCATTCTTATTTAAAATATTTATAAATTCCAGAAGTAATAGTTGCTAACTTAATATTGATTTTTTGCAGGATCAATAAAGGACAAGATGGAATTGAGGATAAGACTACTAAAAATGGCCAGGAAAGTGGACTGGAGGATGAACTGGATTTTGACATGAACTTGAGTAGTACAGACAGTGAAGAAGATTCTGATAGGCTTGAAGAAAGATTTAAAAGTATGAACTTTGAAAGGACAGAGATTCAAAAACTTGAGTTTGTAGAAGAGACTGTACACAATGAATTGTGATAGACTGATGCTTTCCTCTGACTTCTGCTCTGAAAACCTGGTCTGACATTTAAAATCCTCATGTATTGGCACAGTGTGTTTTGATTCTTGTTGTGGAGAGACTTGTTACTTGTTTGAAAGACTCAGAGTTTGAATCTTTAAGTACAGTTATTTCTTGTATGGATGTTCCTCTGTGTGTTATTGATATGAGTCCAGTATTACACAACTGTTGTATTGCCATTTGAAAAACTACATGGACATCTGTAGTTCAAACAAAGAAATAAAAAGTTCTGTCATTTAAAAAAAAAAAAAAAAGTTAAACCAATTTTAATAGATTTTGAGGGAAGAACTTGCATCTTTTGTCAGTGAGCTTCCAGAGGCCATTACTGAAATATCAAGTAATCATTGTTCTTACTCCAGCTGTCTCTTTTCCATGGGAAGAGTGCCTAAGTGCCATCAATATCCATTTCATATTTGTGACCTTGTTTTTACCAAAATTTTGAAATGGAAAAAAGAAAAAAAAAAAAAGAGCTTAAGACTTTAGAATTTTTCATACATGTTCCACACTTTCTTTTCATTTGGATGTAGACATAATGTAGTTTCCTCTAATACAAAAGCACTTAGGTGCCATGCAGGGATGCTAATATAGAATTATGTTAAATAAGTTATGATTTCAAATGCCGTACTATTACATAGCAGGATTCCTGACTTTCAGTTCCTTGTAGGGATTATTTCAATGTAGACTAAGCTCTAAGAAGAACTTCATTGAAATGAACTTCTGCTGGATTCAGTGTGGTTTGATTTGTTTTATGTCATCTGCCACATCTATGAATAACGCAGGAGAAGTGCTTCTTGTTTACTAAATGGTTTAATGCAAGAACAACTAACAATATAGTTTTTACTGACCAGTGAAAAAGTAACCAGCTTGTTTGGCGTTGTCTGAATTGCAGTTACCAGACACAGAAAAAAAAATAAATAAATAAAATAAATCTAAAAATGTCTTCTTCAAATCAATTGTGAGGGACTTTGACTTGTGTTTTTCCTTCAAAATATGGAAATATTGAAACTTTTATTTCTTTTGGATAGGGATAGTCACCATGTCTCTACCGTAGCTGACTTTCAAAGAAAATCTGCTTATCAAGATATGGAGTGCTAAGATATAGAGCGGTCAGGAGCACAGAACCTGTTCAGATTGAAACAACAGCATTAGTATTTAGTATTGTTAATAATACACAACAGCAAAATTCTTGTAATCAGTCATCTAGCATTGAGCTCATATCTTTTTTTTCTTTACTGCTTATGTGCTCGTCACTACAGATAAGGCCTTAAGCATTATGCTATTTAGTATCTTCTATTTAGATTTGTCTTTCACTTTTATATATTTCCATGGGACATTAAAACATCACATTTACTTTTTCTGAACTTCTTGTAAGTTTGTATACTAACATCCAAAACATCATTTTTAAATTATCTCTAAGGACTAGTAATCTGCATGGTTTAATTCTTGTTTCTTTTCTGTGCTGCCCATCTGCTTTTGAAGAAAGAAATTTTTCTATGTCCATTTTCTGCATATATTGATTTTTGCAAAGTGTTTTATGATAACTGTGTGCACCAAGCAATTGCAAATCATGGTCTTCTCTGTTCTTCTTAATACATCAAGACTTACAGCTCTTCACTGAGACAAAGTGTAACATTTGCTAACTATTTGAATATCATTTTTATGCTTATTTGCAATCATAAAGCACTAGAATTTATGACCAAAACAACCAGTCTCCTTCTTTTTCCCTCTATCTATAAATATGTTGTTTACAAGCTAAACAACTAGCTTTGTGATCAACTCAGATTATTTCACTCAATTTCAATAAATAAAAAATTCATCATTATAACATGTATGGAATGGTGATGGCTTGGCTTGGCTTGGCTTGGAAGAGTCCATTAGTTAATCTGCAGGGCACTAAGAGATGCTTAGTGGTAGAAGAGAAGTTGTGTGGTGTTTAGAAGAGACTAGAAGATGGTCAGAAGGTCACACCACGTTGACAGATAAGTCCTCCCACCAGGTCAGCAGTGACGTCTGTCTTTGTGTGACGTTGCCTGTTGTTCTGCCAGTTGACGCTGGTAAAGACAGAGCAAACATGGAACATCCCCAGCAGACACTGCAAATGCATGGTGATTCTGGCTTGTAGTTAATAAGTGATCTGGCATCAGCTGCAGAGAGGGGCTCTATGAAGGGGAAATGTGAGTTTTCATGAGAATGATATACCTACAGGAAACATTCTTTCACTTGGAAAAATTTGATAATGACCTAGCCTTCTGTCCAAAGGTGAAAGGAAATCCTGAAATGATAGGAAAACTTGAGCAATTGGCAGTAAGAAAAGGGGAAGGGCTGCCTTGTCAAAGTCATTGTTATAATCTATCAGTATGGAGGAAGAGATGTTGAACGACAAGAGCAACCAAAACAAAAGGTGTTATAAAATAGTTTGAAGTTAACATATTTACGTGCCGTAACTAATTGTCTATTCAGAGTTTACTTGGGTAGTTGATGCTACTAGTATGACAAGATGTTACAAGACTGATTCTACAAGGCTATGATGAAATTGCTGGGATTGAGCAAAACTACAGGGGTGGCTGGCAGGATTTAGCCTAACAAAGACAGCTGAAGACAGCTCTTGATGTTGGGTCGTTGGTCTTAATTGTAGTTAAAAGATGCACTAATGAAAATGACTGCTGCAACTAAAACAGTATACTCACATGGTGGTGTGAGTCAGCTTGTAAAATTCTGTGTTCGTGTATGTTCACTGTTACAGGGAAAATAAGTTTTACTGAAGATATCTCAAACATGGGAATAAAAAGAGCAGTCTTTGTTTTCTTATTAATTTTGGACAGAAGTCAGAATATATTTGGAATTATAGGGAGATATAATTTTTATAAGATTTAAGCAATAGTTCAGAATTGCAGGGTTTTGGTTTTTTTTTTGTTGGTGTGTGTGTGTGCGTGTGTGCGTGAAGTGCTTGTTGAAATGAGAGTTCTCTAGAGATAGAACCTCTTTAAATACTGATCTTTGATAGAAAAAAAAATTGGTGAGAAAATCACATGAAAGATCAACTTTTAGAAGGAAATTCTTTCCTGAGAGAGTGATGAGGCACTGGCACAGGCTGCCTGCAAAGGCTGTGACTGCCCCATCCTTGGTGGTGTTCAGGTGTCCAGGTTGGATGAGGCCATGTGCAAACTGATCTGGTGAGTGTAAACCCTATCTGTGGCAGAGTGGTTGGATCTTTAAGGTCCCTTCTGACAAAAGCCATTCTATGATCAATCTGGAAAGGTTTTATGTTTTCTGACCAGGGTAGTTACACAACAGGAATCATCTTTGGATTTTTAAAGTATTTTTTTTAACTGAGATTTTGAAGGGCTCCTACTTCTTCTTTTACAAGGAATATTGTGAGTTTGTAAACTTAACAAGAGGGGAAATGCTATCACCATGAGGCAGTATGCTGAGATGATATTTAAGAGATCTGTGTAGGATGACTGACAGGGATTTCAGGAATTTTACTGAGCATTGTGGGTAGATGCCTAGTACATTACTGAAGAAGGGAATGATAGATGTTAATAATTAGTCATCTGAAGAATAAAGAAGATGGGGTGATGCTGCTGGTACAGGTGGATTCCTGTTAGCTAATTGTCCTTACGAGCGTTATCAATTCTCATTTGGTGTGACTCATCGCTGATAGTAATTAATTAGATAATGGACTGTTGATATGTGTGTAAGGCATGCAAGATGATTCTCACTTCACTAGGGGAAATGCTTATCATAGAACCGGTCATTATTTACTTCATCAGGTTTCCGGAAAAAAAAATTCCCATATGTATGGATGTGTTCAGAGAATCTGGATTCATTGCAACATGAGGAAAGTCCTTTTTATGTATGCTGCTGCTTCCTAGCACTATTTTCTATCAATCTGTTTTGTCAAAATTTGTTGGTATCTCTGAAACATATTCAAGTGTTTTAAAGTATCTTGTGGTACAAAAAGAATTGCCAATGATTTACTCCTAGTTTTGCATGGGGTTGGGCAGTTTTTCTCTTGTCTACTGATTGATCTATATTCCTCTAAAGTATATAATACCAGCCTCTGAAGCTTTATAGGACTACTGGTTAATTAAGAAGAGGGTAAGTAGTTTTCTCCCTATAATGGGCATGTACTTGGATGCTGAGATGCAAATCATAGCATTAGCAAGGAAAATAGAGGAAAAAAATAGCAGGTAGTGAAAAATGAGCCACCTCTAGCCCTACAATTACATATGTTTTCTTTGTTCAGGAATTCTCACAAATAAATGGACACCGACAGAAAATGCAAAACTGCCTCTCCTTACAGAAAGCATCTCTCTGACTTAAGCTGCTAATGAGGAAAGGATTCTAAGTAGCATAAGGAGACCTTCTTAATAACAAGATGTTTAGGGTGCTGGTCATACACACTGTCAGCATGTTTCATTTCTTCTGCCTGCCTTTTATCTGAAAGCTTTTAAGAGGACAAAGGTATATATGAAAAATACATGTTCTATATACATGCTCTCATCACATACAGTGAGTATGTAAAGTGGGGTTCTTGTCCTCAAAACAGTTGAAAACATACTAGTATTTGAAATGAGGTAGGTCTGTGTAGAGATCGATAGCGTGTTCTCAGACAAATCACCTGTAGCGGGCTAGAAATGAAATACTTGCCAAGTTTCACATAGTGGATATTTTTGTTGGATTCTTTAAAACAGTTAAGATAAAATAACAGGGAAGTTTGCTTTTTTGTTTGTTTGTTTTTCCTACAGAAATAAGTTAGCAAACCAGTGTTTCTAACTTCACAAATTGAAGTCACAATACAATACAGGCCGCAGACAATACATTAGAATTTTACTTGAATTTCAGTTGTGCATCATCCGTATTTCAATTCACCACTGACGGAATTTTTAGAAAACCAGGTTAAGGAGTTTGGTGTAATTGCATAACTAAGAGGGCTTTGAAAGCAGTACCAAATTGTTTGGTTATTTATTTGTTCATTTATGTACTGATGCGACTGCAGCACAGAAGACCATGTTTTAGTACAAAAATATGAAATGGTTATGTGTGTTCCTGAATAGTAGCACTCACTTTAAATGTCTCTTTATAGGACAGCTTGTATTTCTGAGAGTCAAGTTTGTCATACTTATGTTCCCAGCACTTCTCTTACTGTTCCCTATGTACTTCCTGAGCAAGCCTGACATAGTGTGTGAAAATAGTCAATGAAGATTAACCACAGTTTAAGTGCTTGTAAGTGTAGCAATAGTGAAACTTG